GATTGCAGTGTTGTTTGCCCATCTGCCTTCCCATTGGCGAGCCCTGTGCTACGATAGGTTGTGCTTAGACTATCGGAAGCAATATTCGAAAATGGTTTCGGACAGTGGCCTTTGCCGCTTATGTCAGACCCTGTGAAGGAAAAATGTTTCTGTTGAAAAATAATTAATTAAAATTACGAGTTGCCGTCTGTTTGGTCTGCCGTGCCGTTTGGTTTGAAGAGTGCATCTTCTACCTTCATCATGCAATTGGAATTTATCATGATTATTTGCGATAGTTTACATAGATGACGTGTTAATCATGGCAAACTCGGAAGAAAAGGCTTTCCGAAGGCTGAAGGTTGTATTAAATGTGTTGACTGTACCAGGGTTGCCATTTAACGTTAGCAAATGTGGGTTTCTTGAACCTACTACGCAGTATCTGAGCTATGAGGTGTGCGGTGGAGAAATCAGACCCAATTCCTAGAAAATCCTTACGTTAAAGGTCCGTCCTTTTAATCGGTGCAATTAAGAGACCGTCGTAAGACCATTTATTGAATTGGTGCCTTATTTTCAAAAACGTGTGCCTCGATTTTCTCAGATCATGAGACATATTCTTCGGCTTCAAGTATCTTTAAGTGAAATGACGATTTTTAGAAATTGGAACGAACGTTTTTAATATTATTACAAGTGAGCCTGTAATCGTTATTTGTTGGTTCGCAACATTCGATAAAATTTGAAACAGATGTAAGCTCTTGTGGATATTGTGCAATGCTAATACACTTAATTAATGGAGACACTTATGTTAGTGGAGTGTATGGGTGGAACTATATACGATGTGGAGTCCAAATGGCATTTATATGAATTGGAAATATTGGCTGACTTACAATTATTCTAACATTGTGGTATTATTTGCTCAAATGAGAGTTCGTAGTCTATACCTATTGTAATTGTAATGATTTCAAAAACAAATTAACTGAAGTGCAACATAGAATGGAGGAAGAAAAAGCGCAAGGCAAATGTGGATTTCTTTTTGTGTCCAGAATTCACGTGACTGATTTAAATTCCAATAACTAAAAATAAAGCGACAGAAAAACGTCTGAACTTAGAATGGAAATCTAATAACTGAATGATCAGAGTCAGGATTCAGGATTGATTGATATAGTTTATAAACAACTCAAAATAATTGAAATTAAATTGAGCTATGAAGGGGGGTTCTTAAAAATACACAGAGGTGTGAGGTAATGTTGTCTGCCAGTAGTGTCCCTTAAATTTTGTTGGATAGTTATTAATCAAGGTTATAAATCCGTTATGTGTTTGGGTTGGAAAAAATAGACTCAGCAATATTTATCAGAATTGTTGGAAATGACTAAGTTTAAAGATTGTTGAAAATTGTATCATGTGTAAAGCTGTTAAGTAGTCATCTGGCTGGATACCAGGACCGCAGAGGTGATGGCAAGATGCTCTTGGCGGGGTGCAACTTGCGGCGAACTGCACAGTTAGTAGTGCAACCAATGCAAGCCCTTAAGAGATGCCAATCGGACCCACCCTTTGGGCTTGATACCACCACATGACACAGAGAAAAGTATAAAGAAAGAGAAATTTAAAGTTACGTTATGCTGGTTCGGAAGAGCACTAATTTTGATAAGGCAAGATTAATTTAAAATGAAAAATGAAAATGGAAAATATGTTAAGAATGAGAGAGAAAAGAGAAAGAAATGAAGATGGAAAATGAAGATCGGCACCAAACAGAGTTTATAGAAAAGCTTGATGGTGGCTGATATGTTTTGAGATATCTGTCAAGTAAGCGAACTTTTATAAGTATGCGCATGAGTTTTTGAGGGCATAGCCAAATAGACAAAATAAGCAATGACGTTGATTTATTAAAGATTAAAGTTGATTAAAGATTTAGACGACTCAAGTGGAGATGCGTCTGATTCCCATGTGGGGAATGATGATATGGATGGCACGGTTGATGCCTTGGAGTCCCAAGAGGGGATATAATGACCGCACCATAATAGAAGGAATTGTTATGGCGGGGGTCAGTGGAGACCGCACCATAACAGAAGGAATTGTTATGGCGGGGGTCAGTGGAGACCGCACCATAACAGAAGGAATTGTTATGGCGGGGGTCAGTATGTGGGTGTAAAAGGAAATACACCAGTTGATAAAGCTATGTAATTAGAGAAGTCTGAATTGTAAATTATGATTAAAATGAAGATGTAATTTGTTATGTTATCATGAAACCAAGATGCTTATTTTGTCTAAATGCCTCAATACTAATGTTTAGAAAATTATTGAAATGTTTGTTGACAATAAAATGTAACGAGTACTGAAATTTGAGAATACTGTGATTTAAAGTTAACACACGAGGACGTGTGATTTGTCAGGAAGGCCGTGTCGGATCACATGAAACAGGGCCTACTTTATTCCTATGGTCAGAATAGGTGAAGCGGGGCCTTTTGAAATATGGAGCAGGGCCTTCTGAAATATGGAGCAGGGCCTTTTGAAATACGGAGCAGGGCCTTTCTGAAATACGGAGCAGGGCCTTTCTGAATTGAGTGAAAGCACGGCAGAGCAGGATAGATATAGACTGCTGCCGAGTGAGGTCTGTTCGTGAAGCGCTGACAAACAGGTTAGAAAGAGACGATAACAATGATTATGAAATGAGTGAATTGAGTGAAAGTAGAAAGGTCGAAAGTAGACTTTTTGGAAGACAGTTTAGAAAACGCTTCGAAGACGAACAGAACTTGCTGCTGGAAACTTATTCCGATAAAATGGACCAGTCAAACCACCCTCCGACATACATATGTATGTACATCCCAGCACATTGCATTTTGAGCACTTTAAAAAAGTATCTTGGTGCTTGTTTTTCAGGTGGGAAAGTAAGTTGGTAGAATTCCCACTACTTTTAATTATCTTTAAGCATAATGTGCATTTCGCTGTAATTCCATTGAATTCAGAATAAAATTCTTTTGCCGCACTCATAATCACACGCGTCTCTTTTTTCATGTTTGGCTTAAGAGTGACCAAATATAAAAATATCGGAAATATCATCTCAAAAAAATATCATTATCGCCTATTTTTGCCCAAAAAATATCGCGATGATAATATTTTTTTTAAGAGAAAAAAATATCGATATTTTGATATTTTGATATATTTCCGACATCCCTAGTTTTTTTTTTTAATTTTCGGTTATTTCTATGACAGTCGATATAGTCGTTCGATCCATCCCGTTCCGACTTATATATGCGGGATAGTAGTCAAAGGACTATTAAGAAAATTTCATTCAGATAGCTTCAAAACTGAGGGACTATTTTGCGTAGGAACGGGCAGACGGACGGACAGACGGAAAAGGCTAAGACCCCTCCACTGCGTTGTAAACTTTGACTAAAATTATAATACACTGCAAGGCTATAAAAACTTCTAAATATATGAAAGCATCCATAACAATAACAAGTAAAAATATTATTATTTAATGCTCCCACAATCAATAAAGTGGCAGTGGTAATTGGGGGATATTATTCTCAAACGTCGGGATAATGGACACTTGGAGCGCGGATACGAGACCTATCGATCATGATACATCAATACATGTTGATGTTCTGTCGTAGAGAATATGGCTACCAAATTAATATAAAGATGGTCAATCCGACAATCGGAAATGACTTCTGACTAAAATGATATTATACCCAGCTGGGTATATAAACTACTAAAATATGAAAGCATCCATGACTATAAAAAGTAATAAAAGTAATTATGTAATTATGCTCAACTTTATGAATAAGCATAAATCAGATAGTACTGAAGCCAGATGAAAGACACAGAGTTTAGAAAATGTACCTAGGAAGTTGTTGAGCATCACATCTTAATACTGCCAGCACAAATGTAGATGGTGCAGATATTCAACATATAGGAAAACTTTCTTGTCAGATATCTTCCACACCAACTCAAATTGTTAGAAAACCCGCTAAAATCGTTTTTTATTTTAACATTTATTGATTTTTAATTCATGGGAGTGGCTTTTCGAAATTAGCTACTTTTTTTGTATAGGGTAAGGTGGGGTAAAGCCGACCTAGTAAATGGTTTTGGCTATAACATGCTTATTTTACATCGGATCAAGTCGTTATATATACCAAATTAAAGGTTAGACTTCTGCGCAACTTTCTATTCATAGCATTTTATTCATACCTTTGAAAAGTTTTGAGATACAAGCGTTTTACGAAAAAGTTCATTTTTGCTATGTTCAAAAATGATCGGGTAAACCCGACCGCCTATGTTTTTGGTTGATTTAGTACAGATATAACCTAAATATAGGTTTTGCAATGATAAATCAATCAATGTTATATTATATAATGGTAATAAAAGATAATAGAATTAAAAAAATGAAAATAGCAAAATAATTAATCAGTATCATCTGATTCGCTGCTCAAATAGCTTGCTGGCGTTTTTTGGTTCGAGTTGAACGTCTGGTTGGCTGCGATGTTGATGGTTTTTGGTGTGATAGTTGTTTTTTTTGGCTTTTTTTGCGGCAGGAATTACCCCACTATTTAGAGGTCGAATTTGCCCCACCACGTAATTTTTCATAAAAACGCAATTAAAAAAGAAATTATGAAAAAAAATGAACCAAACTTATATGCACTTTGTAGGACTTTATTCAAAGAATCTAAATCCACTTACCTTTTCATGCGATAACTTTGACAAAAAGAAATATCCTGCACGAAAATGAAAGTCAAAATTGTGAAAACAAACTTGTTGTCGTTTGACCATCTCAATGTTGACTAATAAAATGCTGTCATACCACCATTTTCATGGTTTTCGATGCTCTACACGACAACACTAATATTAGTTTGCGTAGTGCTTCCGATTTTCGAAAACAGAGGGAGGTCGGGTTTACCCACACTGTCGGCTTTACCCCACCTTACCCTATTCATTCATAATTTATTAGCTCCAGCACTGGGAGTATACTGGTTGGTAATTATATAAATATAGATAGATATTTATTTATTTATTTTTATTATTACCTTTGTGTGATAGTTGGTTGCAAATTAATAGTTGTCAATATTAAAGGGATAAATTCGGATACCTCTTGATGTACTGCATTCTTATATATTTGGTACATCAAAACAACAATTATTGGCAGCTCCTGCAACACTTTTAGTGATAATATGCCACGAGGAAGAAGGTTATACTGAAACGAAGATAATATATATTATATTATGACTAAACGAAACATTAACAAAAAAAAAAACAAGAAAGGAAGCTAACTTCGGTACGCCGAAGTTTGTATACCCTTGCAGATTGGTTTTCATATTTATATTATAAATTATAATGCCAAAAACAGACACTAAACTGAGTTTCATAACATTTTTTCTATACTTATTATGTTTACAGTTTGACAGTTACAGTTTTACATTGCCAGTTTTACATTTTCTCTACATCTACGGATCGCTTTTATGGCAACTATATGATATAGTTGTACGATTTTCATAATATGGTTACCAAAATTCTGAAATAATACTAAAAGCTCATTTCTCTAAGTAGATAAAAATACGTCGAAAAACCACGAAGTTATGAATTTTTCTATTACTTTCCCTAACGTTCCTATGGCAGCTATAAGATTTAGTCGTCCGATTTTCATAAAATTTATACCAAAATTCTGAAATAATACCAGAAGCTCATGTCTCAAAGTAGATTAAAATACGTTGAAAAACAACGAAGTTATAATTTTTATCAATTAATTTCCTGATCGTTCCTATGGCAGCTATAAGATATAGTGGTCCGATTTTCATAAAATTTTTACCAAAATTCTGGAATAATATACAATGGCTATATATCAAAAACGATGCTATAATATTGAAAAACAGCCAAGTTATAATTTTTTTTCTAAAAACTTGTCGAACATTTGTATGGCAGCTATATGATATAGTCGTCCGATCCGGCCCGTTCCGACATATATAGCAGTGAGAGTATATAGAAGACTAAATGCAAAGTTTCATTCAGATAGCTTTAAAACTGAGGGACTAGTTTGCGTAGAAACGGACAGACGGACGGACAGACGGACAGACGGACTTGGCTAGATCAACTCGGCTGTTGATGCTGATCAAGAATATATATACTTTATAGGGTCGGAAACGTTTCCTTCACTGCGTTGCAAACTTCTGACTGAAATTATAATACCCTGCAAGGGTATAAAAAGCAAGCTAACTTCGCCACGCCGAAGTTTTTATACCCTTGTAACATGCAATTAGATCAGGAGATATATGATATATGATATAAATAATGTATAAATATATATTAATTTATACATTATTTATATACATTTTTGTGAATACTTAGAGGACTATTTGCAAGGCTTTATTCAGATAGCTTCTGAACTGAGAGTCCGTAGAAACAGACTGTGCTGTAAGGGTATATAAAAGACAATATTTACAAAAATTAAATTTAAAACAAGAAAGGAAGCTAACTTCAGCACGCCAAAGTTTGAATACCCTTGCAGATTGCAATTGGATCATTAAGAATCAAGCCATTCCGGTTAAATATTTAGAAAAATAAATACAAGAAAATATATAAAAGTTTTATATTTATACATAGCATAAATAAAATGCTGAAAACACACACAAAACAGAGTTTCTTTACATTTTACCTATACTTATTATGTTTACAGTTTGAGAGTTACCGTTTTACATTTCCAGCTTTACATTTTCTCTACATTTACCGATCGCTTCTATGGCAGCTATATGATGTTGTCCGATTTTCATAAAATTTATACCAAAATTCTGAAATAATAACAAAAGTCATATCTCAGAGTAGATGAAAATACGTTGAAAAACAACGAAGATATATTTTTTCCTATTAATTTGCCGATCGTTCCTATGGCAGCTATAAGATATAGTCGTCCGATTTTCATAAAATTAAAACCGAAATTCTGAAATAATATAAAATGTTGAAATACAGACAAGTTATAATTTTTTTTCTAAAAATTTATCGAACATTTGTACGGCAGCTATATTATATTGTCGTCCGATCCGGCCCGCTTCGACATATAAAATAGTGAGATTATATAGAAGACTATAAAAAAGTTTCATTCAGATAGCTCTAAAACTGAGGGACTAGTTTGCGTCGAAACGGACAGACGGACGGACAGACGGACATGGCTAGATCGACTCGGCTGTTGATTCTGATCATGAATATATATTCCTAAGAGGGTCGGAAATGTCTCCTTCACTGCGTTGCAATCTTCTGACTGAAATTATAATACCCTGCAAGGGTATACTAATTTAACTAGTTTCGGTTTTGACACTAAGCTGTAAAGTATCAAGCTGTGAACTAAGAACGCTTAAAATCGAGCCAAATCAAAAACGAATAAGAAATTATCTGAAATTTATTTTTTTGTACTGTTACTGTTAATCAATATAACTATTTATATACTGAGCGATATAAATTTTATGAAAATTGGACAACTATATCATATACAGCTGTGTTCACTGAAATAGCAGTGCGACAGAGGAACAACTTCAAAATGTTTTTTGTACATATTCCTTTTTACAAGCTGATCTATTGCACATTGTTTTTGTAAAATGGAACATAAAGATAAGAATCGAGAAAAAATTCCGTTAGATTGGCTCTATTTTTATGTTTTATTGATATTTTTCACATATGCAGCTCGTTTTGGGTGTTCACTGATATAGCAGTTTTTAAATTTCTTTTGCAAAAGGTGCCGAAATTTCTACTAATTTTGTAAAAAATGAGTTAAATTAAGGTCGTTATTATAGTTTATACTATAATACACCTTTACAACGCAAAAAAAAAGTATTTTAGTGGGCGCAGGACCTCACTGCTCCATGAGAGAAAGGTATCAGATAACTTAGCCTAGAAAGAAGGGCAAAACATGTAAAGAGACTCCAAATCTTTCAAATTGTTCTTTTAAAATAGTTTATAAATCATAAAATATGAACCGAACCCAAAAAAAAACCGAGGTACGATTCGCAAAACCACAATTGTACAGGCTCGACGCGTACTTCGCTTCAGCAAAGCTCGTCCTTTTGCATCCTCTAGGGATATATGAGCGGGAATTGGCATGGGAATCAGTCATGGGACCATTCGCCGGGGACTTATTGAAAAAATTTTGAATTCGTAAAGTCCATGGAAGATGTCATTGCTTGGTTAAAGGCATATCAAGGTCAGATTGGAGTTCGTCAATAGCCACTTAAACTACTACTATTGAAATGGCGTAATATCCTTTGGACAAATGACTCCAAACTGGTTTTATTTGGTGGAATAGGACAAGACAATATGTCTGTCGACCTCCAAATACATAGTACCACCCAAACCATACGCTGAAGACAGTAAAGCACGGTGGCCTTAAATTCATGGTATGGGTATACTTTTCATGCAACGTTGTAGGTCCCGTATATATGATCAGTGGGATCAAAGACCATTATGTTTATGTCCAAATATTAAAAACTGTCTTGCAGCTGTATCCTGAGGAAAATATGTCATTAATTTGGACATTTCAGCAGTACAGTGACCCTAATCATACCAGCAAGGTGGCCAAGGAGTCGGTTCTTAATGAAAAGGTGGATGCAATGCCATGGCCTGCACAGTCCCCGGATATAAATCCGATCGAAAACTTATGGGGTACATCACGGGCTACGTATTAAAGAAGTTTCCGACTTCTAAGCCGCAGCTTTGGCAATTTGTGCAGGAGGAATGAGGCCATATTCCCCTCAAGCGTTGCTAAGACTTGGTGGACTCCATGCCACCCAAGTATGAGGCTGTAATAGCTTCTAAAGGCTATTTAACAAAATATTAGATCATAGTCAATTAGAATTTAAGAAGAAATAGGTTTCTTATACGATATTTTTAAATTTATAAAGAATTTTAGTTTTTCACTGCTATTTCAATGAACGGCATAATATAGATTTTTGTTGTGTTATTAGATATATCTTCCAAAAGGTTTATGTTACCTAAATTAAATGATTGTGATATTGTTAATAATTAAATACACTAAGCCTTTATGAAACAATTTTTTTTTTTATGAAAATAGTGTTTGTAACAGTATTTTCCAATCTTAAACATGCAGGTCGTGGGCACTGCTATTTCAGTGAAAACAGCTGTACATGTAGCTGTCATAGAAACGATCGGTAGATGTAGAGAAAATGTAAAGCTGGGAATGCAAAACTGTAACTGTCAACTGTAAACATAATAAGTATAGGTAAAATGCAGGGACCGTAAATAATGATTATTGTCGCTATTTTTAAATGAATAAATCAATCACTTCCAATCAACATAGAACAAGCTTGACTAGCACGTTTTTATCCTTTAAGGATACACTATGAATATCCTTGATGATTTTTAATTTTAATTGTTATATTTATTCTTCTATTGTTAAACATTATTTTTGAGCAAAAAAAATAAAAATCACAAATAATCATTATGCTTGAGCAAAAAAAAATAAAACTCAAAAATAATGTTTATTCGTGATTTTTATTTTTTTTTTTGTTCAAAATAAAACTCACCTAATATTAAATAATTGCAACAAACACAGGTAAAATACATTTTGTTGTTGTTGTTGTCAATTGTTGCTCTAGGGTCCCTTCATAAGGACATAGGACAATATTGGCAATATCCTTAAAGGATCAAAAGTTCTTGCTTGGTGAGTTTTATTTTGAACAAAAAAATAAAAATCACGAATAATCATTATTTTTGAGTTATGTTTTTTTTGCTCAAGCTTAATGATTACTTGTGATTTTTACTTTTTTTGCTCAAAAATAATTATTAGTCTTGATTTAAAAAATTAAAAATCGATAAGTAATCATTACAAAGCAATTTTTAAAATATTCCTTATAATGATTACGGTCCCTGGTAAAATGTAATGAAATAATATCTGCATGGGTATGCAAACTTCGGCGTGTTTTCTTTCTTGATTTTTTATACAAATTTGTCGATCCTACGACTATATGCAAAGTTTAATTTAGGTAGCTTAAAACTGAGGGTTTAGTTTGCATAGAAACGGACAGACGGACAAGGCTAGGTCGACTCTGCTGGTGATACTGTTCAAGAATACATATGTATATACTTTATAGGGTTGCGCAAATGACTCCTTCACTGCGTTGCTAACTTCGGACTAAAATTATAATACCCTACAAGGGTATACAAATGGAATTTTCTACATCTATCCCGATGGCAATCGCATACTTTTTTGTCTGTGTTTGAAAGTGCTGTATTTGCACGATTTTTCGGGGAAGCCGATAAGTACCAGCTTAAAAAACATTACTTACGATCTGCTGAGTGTTGCTTTCCAAGGGTTTTTCGACATGTATAGTTTTTACAGAATACGCTTCAGACAAAAGCACTTCAATGTTTAAATCTTTTAAATCGTTTATCCAAATTTCACTCGATGTTTCAAAAATAGATGTGAGATGGTTTGGCAAAGTTGTGTAAATATCCTTAACAAATCCTAAAAATAGTTGAATCTATGGAAGAGAAGAAATGAGAATATTATTAAAAGCTTTGCTTCTGACAAAAACACAGTAGTAAAAATCTCAATTGTTTGGCTTAACTGATGTTTATAAATGAATCCGCCCTAGTGTATACTGTTTAATATGATTTTATTTATTTCCGAACAATTACATTTAATATTGTCGACCGCGCTGCGTTTGATTGCATTGAGAGCAAAAATGTGACTGATTAAGCTTTGGCTATGCACGTCATTCGATTATGCTAGTCGAAGACGTAAACAAGTTACAGTTAGGAGTTAGAAATGAATGGAAAATTACTGGGCAGAAGCTCGCGCGCATGTGCAGCGATGCGCTGCTCGCTTAGCGACCGCTGATAAGGCCGCCGGCAGCGGCGATCAAAAACAAAGAGAGCGAAACCCAATACAGGGTGTCTCGTTCCCAAACATACCGGCCCCCCTGAACGGTCGTTCAGCACAGAGGCAAGACAGCAATTTTGGTAATTGGGCGTTTGTAGGATCCATGGGCCGTCTTCACTGTTACGACCCGTACTTTGTCATCTGATCCTGCGTGCACCTCGCTGATGCGTCCAAGAATCCATTTAGAGAGAGGTAGATTAGGCTCCTTGAGTACAACCAGTGTGTCGATCTTCAGATTCTCAGTTTCTAGATGCCATTTTGTGCGTTCGTGAAGCGATGTCAGGTATTCCATGTGCCACCGTTTCCAAAACCCTTGGACCATAGCTTGCAGCTGATTCCACCTCTCCAGTCGATTGATTTGCATATCCAGACGGCAGGGTTCAGAGAGGGCAGTATAAGGAGCTCCAGTCAGGAAATGAGCGGGAGTCAGCGGGTCCAACGAATTATCCCGATTTGGGCACAGTGGGCGAGAGTTGAGGATGGCTTCAATTTGGGTCTGAACAGTCGCTAGTTCCTCAAACGTAAGAGCCTTGGATCCAAGTATCCGTCGCATATGAAGTTTTATGGAACGAACGCCGGCTTCCCACATTCCGCCAAAATGAGCTGCAGATGGGGTATGAAGTGCCAAGAAATGCCTTCGTTGGCGAAGAATCCAGCCAATTCCTCATCTTTAGATTGTTCGATGACTAGGCGTCGTATGTCGTCCAAAGTTTGCTCTCCGCCATGAAATGTGGTTCCGTTGTCCGAGTACAGATCGGTGGGCTTTGTTCGTCGGGCAATAAATCGTTGAAAGGCGGCGATGAAGGCCTTTGCAGTCAGATCACTGACGACCTCGATATGGATTGCCTTTGTAGTTAGGCAGACAAAGATAGAGAACCATGCCTTTCCGATCCGTGGAGTTCGTCCTGTTGATTCCTTGATGGCGATCGGTCCAGCGTAATCCAGCCCTGTATGTTGGAAACAGCGACTAGCCTGAACTCGAGGGATTGGCTCTCCCATGATCTGGTTACTGGTGCTTTTGCGGTGAAGAAAGCAGCGTTTGCATTGGAAAACTGCCTTTCTGACCAGATTGCGTGCACCCAGAATCCAGTACTGCTGACGAAGATTGGTGAACGTAGCATCAACTCCAGTGTGCAGATGTGAAACGTGAAAATGTCAAACCAGGAGTCCAGCTAGTGGTGAATCCTTTGGTATTAGGATTGGATGCTTGGCGTTGAAGTTGATTGTAGATTTGTCGATTCTTCCACCGACTCGCATAATTCCATGATCGTCCAGAAATGGGGAGAACCGAATTAAATGCGATTTAGCATTAAGCGGGCGTCGATTCTCTAGCTGCGCATATTCTCTGGCAAAGAAATTTTGTTGCACGTGTCGGATGAGTCGGCATCGTGCGGCCTGCAACTCTTCGGATGTAAAGAATTTGTGGATAAGTAACTCGTAGATACTTTCGTCAGGAAAGTTATGTAGAGTTGTGGGCTTGACAGATCGCTCTTCGGTGTTGACATCGAGATTTGAAGATACGCTGAACTTGCTTGTAGACGGTGGCCACTCAGAGGTCGGTGTGGCCAGCCAAGATGGACCCTTCCACCACAGTCGATGCTCCAGAAGCTTGGACGGATGAAGTCCACAAGAAGCACAGTCGGCAGGGTTGTCCTCTGTGCGGACATGATTCCAGCAGCTGCGAGGAAAGTCGTTCAGGATCTCAGCCGTTCGGTTGCAGACGTATGTGTTCCAGTTTCGTGGGGAAGCTGAAAGCCAGTGCACTATGGGGAATTTGGCCATTTTTATGGTATTAATTAATAACTTTTAAACTAAATAATATATTTCGAAACGGTTTTTTTTATTATAATTATGGACTCCATAAGAAATGATTTTTGGAAAAATGGGCGTGGTTCCGCCCTCGCTTGACGAATTTTTTATTTTTATTTTTATTTTTTTTAATTGTATAAGGAGATTTTTTCTTTTTTTCAAATAATATATTTTAAAAACATAATAAAAAAAATACATTGTCTTAATTTTCAAGCTCTTCGTCAGATATAAAATAAAAAACGTAATTTTCATATTCAATTTCTTCATAAAAGAGGTCCAGGCCTTCAAATTCGCTAATAACTTCCATTTGGCACTTACATTAATGCAAAAAAATTAGCTTTTGCCTTTTAAACTGGTAAAATGATTTGAGACATTAATATTTATATGTAATTAACTTGGAAAATGGTTTTTTCTTGGTAAAATTTGCTCGAAAAGACCTGCAAAAAAAAATTAAATTACGCAGATTGTGCGGATTTGTGCACATTGAGAAAAATTGCCTTTTATTTAGAATGAATGCCTCTACAACATATATCGGACGTACAGCAATACAAAGACATATATTTTTTATATGTCTCTTTAAAGTTAAATATTTTCTCAAAAAAATTTTCTTAGAGGAACACTTAGAAAAATCGCAATATATCTGTAAGACACGCACAGATCAATATATTAGTACACACTACACATAATAATTACCAGTACGATTGGTCTCCATCAAAACTTTAATCAAAAATTGGTTCTACTTTTAAGTTTTTCACTTTCAAAGTAACCGAATAAAAAATAGCTATTTTCAATCACGTGCATTTTGGCTAAAACAGCCGACTTTAACAGTGGATAGGCTTAACAGTGCACTGTTAATTAACATTTCTGGTACTGCATTTTATAGAGCCATATATTTTTAATATGTTTACATAAAAAAAACTCAAATATTTAAAGTTTGATAAAATGACTAAATACCACGGAAATGGCAAAATTCCCCATAGTGCAGTGTAGCACAATTTCTGAATCTGTCCAGCAGCTCGTGCTGAAAATAGGAATCGTTAGTGAGGCTTTGACAATCGAGAGCAATCGAGAAAGAAGTAAAGCAGCATCCAGTTCCAAACGTGGGATCGAAACAGGCTTGATCGGGGCTACACGGGTTTTGGCAGCAACTAGGGTTATTTGAAAAAATTTGAAATCCGCGTGCGCGGATGCGTCGGCGAATCCGTGTAGTTGAACGTCTTGGAATGGTGACGCAATGTATCGTGGTACTTGACACTGCGTAAGTGTCGGCAAATCCTCCACCAAGGCCTTCCAGCGCGAGCGTAGAGTTTCAGGAATCGGGTCATCCCATTGCAGAACACTTGTCCAGCTTTCTTGGAAGATGAGCTTGAGTAGAACTGTGACCGGCGCTACCAATCCAAGCGGGTCATAAATTCTTGATAGCTGCGACAAGAGTTCCCTTTTCGTCGGAGAAATGGTCGGATCGCACTCCTTGAGATTGAGGTACATGACGTCCTTTCCGGGATTCCATTGGATGCCAAGAATTTTGATTGGTGAATCCGCAGCTGATTTGTTGAGGAGCTGGATAGGCTCATAACAGCGGTCCTCTTCTGGCAATGACTTTAGAAGACGCCAACTGTTGGAACTCCATTTCCGTAGTTTGAATTGCGCCTTATCCAACAGTTGAATCAGCTCGTTTTTGAGAATCATGAGCTCGTCGAATGAGTTGCACCCTGTTGGGATATCATCTACATAAGCGTCGTGTAGAAGCGCGTGGGCTGCAGCGGGGAACTCGTGGCGGTGATCCTCAGCTAGTTGCTTGAGAACTCGAACAGCCAGAAATGGTGACGGCGCCAATCCGTAGGTAGGCGAAAATGAAGCAGTGGTTCATTCTCGTTCTTGCGCCAAACAATGCGCTGAAAATTGGTGTGCGGCTTGAAGACTTGAATTCCTCGGAACATCTTCTCGATATCCGCGCAGAAAACATATGGGTGCTGCCGGAAACGTAAACAAACGCCGAGAAGATCGCGTTGAATGGGCGGGCCAATTTGAAGTCGATCATTGAGAGACACTCCAGAGCTGTCTTTTCCCGATCCATCGAAAACTACGCGACATTTCGTAGTCAAACTGTCCAGTTTGATGACAGCGTGGTGCGGCAGATAGAAGCAGGTGTCTGGGGACTCATCCATTTGAGCCGATGTCAGCTGTTCCATATGACCACGTCGCAAGTAGTCGTCCAGAAATGCTTCGTATTGCTGCTTCAAGTCTGGAGATCGACGAAATTTGCATTCCAGCGAGAGAAAGCGATTGATGGCCTGCGGTAAAGTTGAATCAACAGGCGGCGCATGCTCCTTGAAGGGGTACTCGACGACGTAAACCCCGTTCTCCAAGCGCGTGTGGGTGGCAGCACAATGACGCTCTGTGGGATCGTTGTCGTCCAAAAGAGCCTGGCTAGGCTGTATATTATCCATCTCCATGAAAGAACGAACCATCGTGTCTAGGTCCGCGTGATGAGTAACGGCTAAAGTCTGGTGATGATCGCATGCATTGTAAGAGCCTGCAATAATCCAACCAAAAACAGTATTCAGAGGGATAGGAGCGTCGTTACCAAAGCATTTTTGTTCTCCAGTATACAGAGACCAGAGTTGATCTGATCCAACGATGACATCGATGGGCGTGCGTTAGACGTACGCCTATTCGCTGGACAAATGATTCCGACGCTAAGGTGATTGTGGACCCAGTGTCCAAGAGCAGCCTGCAGGTTGTAGTATTTCCCCAGGCGTCGACGACGTCTGCAAGGATGGTTGGCAACAGAGTCTGCGAACCTGCCTGATTCATGAATCTCTTGACCAGGCGGTTGATTCTGGCCGATTGTAGATGCCGCTTGTGAGGTTGATGGACGATCGCGGCTGTCCATACGGGCTCTCTCCAAGTAGTTACCATTTTGAGTTGGCTGCGCCGAGCCAGGGTGAACCAGGGTGTGATGCTTGCGGCGACAAATCCGACAAGTATGTCTCGATGTACAGTTACCCGCCATGTGACTTGGGCTGAGGCAATTGAAACATAGCTTTTTCGTCTTGAGAAACTCCCGGCGAGCTGTGATGTCGAGTCCGTTGAACTGAGGACACTTGAACAGTTGATGATTTAGCTGGCACGATGTGCATTTGGGTTCTTCTCGTCTAGGATGCGTATCTGCGTGGTGCGTTGTGGCTGCGCGTCGAGCTTGGGTTGGTCGCACTAAGTGAAAAGCCTCCAAAGTATCGCAGCGAGAGGTGAGAAATTTAAGGAATTGGTTGATGGTCAGCTTGGCAAGTATCGGTATCCAATTTTGACAATAGGATGAAGATTAGCCAAGGATCCCTCTCTTCGCAGTCAAGGGCTCGCAAACCACGAATAACTTCATCTGCGCCATCGGCCAGCTTCCGCACTGTGCTGAGATTAGAAGACGTAGCACTGGGAAGGGTCATGAAACTGTTGAGGAATGATCGAATAATTAGCGATTGTTTGTTATATCGCTGCTCAAGCCGATCCCATGCCTCCCGATAGTTCTCATTAGTCACAGGAATATGTTTGACTAAATTAAGCGCGTCTCCGGATAGGTACGATTTGAGATAATGAAATCGTTGACAATCCGTCAGGCTCGAATTGGAAGCAATCGAGTCCGTAAACATACCCGAAAAATGTTTCCAGTCCTCATAATTCCCGGAAAAAGTTTGGAGTTTGATTCGCTCGAACTGGAAATCCACATGGCTTCTCTGGGGCGCATCTGCTGGTTGCACAGTGGCCAAAATATTGTTAGACGTTTGATCACGCCGTAACTCCTCCAGAGTGTTGCTTAGAATTGCGTGTGTAGCGTAATGTTTCTCCTCATAGGCATCAAAATCGTCGTCCGGATTCTCCCAATCCGACTCCGATTGGAAGGCGTACAGCTCTTCCGAATGTCGCACAAACCGCAAATAATTGTCTTGGATTTGAGACAGGCGCACCACAATTGTATCCACTGATTGAATGTCATCCACAAATTTTAGGGCATTATTATGCGCCCGTGTGATTTGGCTTTTACAAAAGCCCCGTTGTTGAATCACACTCCGCATGGCGATCGCGAAAAGATAACGACTCTATACGATTTTGAAAACTATAGATCACCGTTGACAAAAACCTCAATAATTAAATTAATTGACCGAAAATAAACAGTTTTGGCGAATCCGGCTCGAAGGACCAGTTTCCGGAATGTTTATAAATGAATCCGCCCTAGTGTATACTGTTTAATATGATTTTATTTATTTCCGAACAATTACATTTAATATTGTCGACCGCGCTGCGTTTGATTGCATTGAGAGCAAAAATGTGACTGATTAAGCTTTGGCTATGCACGTCATTCGATTATGCTAGTCGAAGACGTAAACAAGTTACAGTTAGGAGTTAGAAATGAATGGAAAATTACTGGGCAGAAGCTCGCGCGCATGTGCAGCGATGCGCTGCTCGCTTAGCGACCGCTGATAAGGCCGCCGGCAGCGGCGATCAAAAACAAAGAGAGCGAAACCCAATACAGGGTGTCTCGTTCCCAAACAACTGAATAGGTTTGACCACTAACACTAAAACTATTAAATAAAAGCTTGAACTTATTTTCATCGGAGAAGATCACCGGTTTAAAGTGTTCTCCTGAAAAAGCTTTTTTCTTAGCATAACATTAAAAATTATATTAACGTTGATCAGCAAACTTAATGGTTATAAAACGTTGATTATTATGACGAACAGAAAATAACATGGCACATAGCAGACAGGGAATTAACAATTTTTTTATGTGAACAATACTAGTTTAATGCTTTAGGACGCCAAAAGTATGTCTTCCTTTTCTCCAGATATCGGCGGGATGTCTTCGTTTGAGTCTTCTTCTGATCGTCGTGTTGGCCAAGGAAACCGATTAGCAATTGGTGTGAGCTGTGAGGTGTTCATTATACATGCTCGAGTGCCGGTTGATCTGCTCCCTGATAGAGGGAATGTGGAGGTCACTTGCCAGAGCATTGTTTCTAATGTACCAAGGGGCATTAGCAATCAAGCGCAGCGCTCGTTTTGGGACTCTTTGGACCTTCATAACGTTCGAGTCAGAAGCCATGCCCCAGAATTGGATGCAGTATATCATAGAAGGCGTAACAATCGATTTAAACATTTTATTACCAAGGCTGCAACATTCGTTGTATACTGATTCCAGGACCAGACCCAAGTACTGCGCCTAGGGTGCTTGTGGGATGGCGTCGTCATGAAGATCAACCCTAGGGAGGATCTTTCCGTTAAGGGGGTTTCCTGAATTAGGAGGCAAAAAAAATCGATTTTTTTTTATTGCTTAAAACGATAGATAAACTATCTAAGAACATACCACAAAAATTTCAGAAGCCAATTCGAAGTATTTTCGAAGATACAGAGATGAAAGCAAGGGAGCGCCGAGCAGGTTTGCAGGCGCTTGGTGAACTTTGAAGCGCGTTTTCTCCACTTCTCATTTTTCGAATTGGCGGGAAAGATAACTAAAAAACTTATTGACCGATTGAAACGAATAAAGGCTTATTCTCTTTAGAATTAAATTCTCTTCTAAATAGACTAAAACGGTTGTTGAAAACAGCTTTTTATATTTTTTACAGCATGTTAAAGTCAATATTTTATCCCGAAAAATGCAATATTGATATTTTATCCCGAAAAATGCAATATTGACTTTAACATGCTGTAAAAAATATAAAAAGCGGTTTTCAACAACCGTTTTAGTCTATTTAGAAGAGAATTAAATTCTAAAGAGAATAAGCCTTTATTCGTTTCAATCGGTCAATAAGTTTTTTAGTTATCTTTCCCGCCAATTAGGAACTGCTGTGACGAGGCGCTTCAGTGAACTACTTATAAGTCCGCCATTTTGAAATTTTTTTTTTTTTTTTTAATTTATTTAAGCGCTTTAAATATGTATAAAAATATACCAAAAATTGCAAGAAGCTTGGTCGTTTCTTTACCTTCCAAAAAAAAATGCGAAAAACAACTAATTTTTGGCCTCCTAATTCAGGAAACCCCCTTAAGGGTGAAGTTGCAGTGCTGCGACTTTTATTTATCGCATTATTCCACCTGTTGGTTCACTTGCCGTACGAGTCCAGAAATTCCTACGTGATCCTTGACGCTTCGTTTCAACTGGAGGAGTTAACAAGGAAGACAGTGCCAGAAATGTGCCCGGTTCATTGGAACATGGTAGGTCTGAAGTGAACAGAGTGTACAGTACTGGGCCCAGGACGCTTCCCTGCGGAACGCCAGCACGAACAATACGAATGCTTGATCTTCCCCCGCTCACCTCGATCATAAAACTACGGTCGTGCAGGTATGACTTTAATAGCAGGAATTGGCCAGTTGGGAGTAGGGACTTCAACTTATGAAGTAATCCATCATGCCACATGCGGTCAAAAGCTTCCATGACGTCGAAAAAATATCAGAGCTGAATTGCTTGTTTTCGAAAGCAATTAAAATGTGGTGGACGACTCGATGTGCTTGCTCTGGGGTCCCATGATGCTGCCTAAAATCAAACTGGTGGTCGGATATGGCTACCTGGACGCTTCTTACTCCCATTATTTTACTAAGGTATTTTCTCACGAATATTTTAGAGAAAGTGGGTAGTAAGCTTATCGGCTGGTTTTCCTGGCTTTGGTATCATCGTTACACTTCCATTGGGAGAAGTGGTAGATACGTAGCAATGAGTTAAAATAGAATATGAAAACAAACTTTTTGTAGGCTTACATGTTGGATCGGTACCGCTTCGGGCAGAGGGCATTTATGAAGGCTAGTGTTTCTTCTACATCCTCGGGGTTCGCGAGGTCAAAAGGCTGGAAGGGCCTTTCTAGTTCGTCCGCAAAAGCTAGTGAAATCTCTGAATAAGACCTGCACTATGTGTCGTCAGATTTCTTAATGGAGATCTTTCAGATGGGCTGTTGTTTAATATTCCGGGTAAATTTCAAGAGGTTGAAGCCGTTTGATTTGGTGGGGTCAGCATTGAGGAGCATCTTATCTTCTCTTGGCATGGCTTCATGCCAATCCTTTGCTTTCGTACTACCCATTGCCTCTTTGTAAGTTAACGGAATCGGAACATCGGAAAAAGGGCGCCTAGGATATTGTACTGCTTCTTAGGACATGATATGTCAGGATATTTCAGAAACGATTTCTGCATCTCCGGGCCCCTGCTATTGGCGAGCCTCCTCTAGTTCCGCCAGCTCGATCGGCACAGCATCACCCTTGGATGCCACGTCATGATGTTCATCAAATAAAACATCTAGTTTCTCGACCAGTTGTCGAGCTGCTGGGTCATACGGTCGATAACCTTTGGCTGCCACAAAGTACCCAATCATAATGTAGTCTTTGCCCTTAGGTCGAAATTTGCTACCCTTCCTCGGACCTTTGCCCAGAGCAACTGCAGGAGCTCCAAAAACTTTTAGGTGTTTTACACAAGGTCTCCTACCTGTCCACGCTTCCATAGGAGTCATACTCTCTAATGATCTGGTAGGGTACTCTCTAATGGGCAGGCATTTAAGCCTTCTTCCTGTGAGCCGTTCCACCAGATTCTTGAACTCGATGAGTTTGGATAGCACCCCGTTCTATCCACGCAGAAAGTAAACAAAAATCCTCCGGGACTTGTCGTCAATGAAAGTCAGAAAATACTTGGAACCTCCGAGAGGGAAAGGTCCACAAACATCTGTGTGTATCAGATCCAAAACTCTTTAGCTCGATTCCTTGTTGCTGCTGGAAAGTTTGGAAATTAATTTTTCTAACCATACACGATTTGCAAATAATATTTTCTGGCAAACGTATATTTTCTACCCCACGAACTATTATATACCTATAGAAGCGTGCATTGTAACACAGATAAATATACAGGGCTCTTTTTTTCTACACTTTTCTCATTTTCTTTTTTTATATGAAGAAAAAATGTCACGCCTAGACGAACAAATAGTTTTAGGCGAACGCGTAGTAGAAATTATGTGGCATTACGAAGACGATCGTAGACGGCAGATAAAGGTAATGCACGAAATAGATTTGACTCTGTACATGTACTGAATCTTTTACTGCGATCACGAATACGTCATGATATTTTGGCTAATATGATTTGTGCTGCATTTAATTACAATAGTCATTTTGTTATAGTATGTACACATACATTGGAATGGTGGACACTTTGTGATGCGGCTAACGTTCCATCTGAAACGTTTATATTGAAACGTTTATCTTGAGATGTGGTCAACTATTTTATCAGTACATCGCCAAAATAGAAGCTGAATCATTTCAAAAAAGTAAAGTTATGATTCGAAGAATAAATTAGTTTCAAGATACGATAGCGAATTATGCTAATGTTATTTAAACATTCTAAAAGTAATTCCGAGGCAAGATTATTAAAAATGCGACGTATTCAATAATTATCTTCTGAAAATTCAGATCGTCTCACAAAACAGAAAGCGTATGAGTCGCAATTGAGCGCCACAGAATCGAGAGCCAACGTTCGCAACGACTTTCTGAAAATCGTTAACAACTAGGACGCGTGTATACAATAGCCTTTGTCAGATGACTTCGTTTGGGAAAAACAAAAACAAATTTGTTTCTTTCCCGTGTGGACCTGGGACGGGCAGCTACTTCCTAATGAAAACATTACAGTGGTTACTAGATATCAATATCAGAGAAGAAACCGAGAAAAGCATTTCTGAAACACGGTAAGTCACATCCATAATATAATAATACATAAGCACTGACGGATATGGCTGGTTAATAATAAAGTTTATAGAATCGGAAATGACTTACAGAATCGTGATGACCAAAGGAGCACAAAATCAAGTATGCGGTATAAGAATAAAATATTTAGTAAATCAAACAAGTTGATATGTATATGTCGTATAGTTTTGATACAGTTTCAGGCTTGACAAAAATCAGGCTTTTGTGCTTCTTTTTAACGCAACTTAAAAATGTGAAATCCAATCTAAGATCTAAGCTGAATTCATAAAGTTTCAATTCTGCATACTTGATTTTGTTGTACTATGCTTTCTGAGTTTCTTACGATGGTCGAAAGTTAAATTATCAGGGTGTTTTTTAGTTATGGGCAGGAGTGTACCATATAAAATGTTTTTTAACAGCTTGAATTCTTTCCAAGATTATATACTTACTTCAGGATTAAACGATGGGCGAAAGTGTTTATGCAGCTCAATTATAATCCGAAGACTAACAAGAACATTTTCTTCATTATCAGTTCTTAATATTTTAAGCATCATTGTAATAATGGCTTTGACGTGTTGCCTCAAGCTCTCTGTTATCGGCAATCTGTGAATCATCTCCAAAATAAGTTTTCGAATCTAAAAAGAACAATTTAATTAATAAAATTTTATTTGTTGTAGTTTTAAAATTAACAGTTATATTTCCATGGGAACTATTTGGGACTATTTTTGTAGATTAGAGCTTTTTCGTGGTGTTTAATAAGAAGATTAAAATGAAGACGAGATCGCAATAAAGCTATCCTTTTTGTTTTCAGCAAATTCACCGTCTTTAGTCTTGATTACGTAAATAATTAGAAATAGAAATAATTAGAAAAAACTGAAGGTTTTTTTGGACCTGTAATAAGCTAAATCTCAACTAAAAATAGCATTCTTTAGTAAATTTACAAAATACTTGACAGAAATATGAATGAAAAACAAGAAAGGAAGCTAACTTCGGCACGCCGAAGTTTGTATACCCTTGCAGATTTGTTTTGATGTTTATATTATAGATTTAAATGCTGAAAACACTCACAAACACAGAGTTTCATTACATTTTACCTATACCTATTATGTTTACAGTTTGACAGTTACAGTTTTACATTCCCAGCTTTATATATTTTATACATTTACCGATCGCTTCTATGGCAGCTATAAGATATAGTTGTCCGATTTTTATAAAATTTATACCAACATTCTAGAATACTAATCTAAAAAAAGCTTATATCTCAGAGTAAATAAAAATGCGTTGAAAAACAACGAAGCTATAATTTTATTTCTATTAATTTCCCGATCGTTCCTATGGCAGCTATATCATATAGTCGTCCGATTTTCATATAATTTCTACCAAAATTCTGAAATAATATAAAATGGCCATATTTAAAAAATTATGCAAAAATGTTTAAAAACAGATAAGTTATAATTATTTTTTTTTTAATTTATCGAACATTTGTATGGCAGCTATATGATATAGTCGTCCGATCCGGCCCGTTCCGACATATATAGCAGTGAGAGTATATAGAAGACTAAATGCAAAGTTTCATTCAGATAGCTTTAAAACTGAGGGACTAGTTTGCGTAGAAACGGACAGACGGACAGACGGACGGACAGACGGACTTGGCTAGATCGACTCGGCTGTTGATGCTGATCAAGAATATATATACTTTATAGGGTCGGAAACGTCTCCTTCACTGCGTTGCAAACTTCTGACTAAAATTATAATACCCTGCAAGGGTATAAAAACGAAAATAACACCGTGCCACCTAATTAAAAAGATTTTAAATTTGCATAATAATTTTGCGTTTTTCTACTTTTTTGTAATACCATTTATGATTGGTGCTTCCCAACTTTTGTTGCATAGAATCTCTTAAACCTGGCCTAAGACAAGTATATGATTGTGTAATAAACTCCATCAGAAGCTAAAAATGCCTACAATTTTATTTTATTTTGTTAAAGACCCATCCACATTGAATATATTTTTCGACAAAAACTTTTTTTTTTTTTTTTTTTCAAAAAAAATAATGAAATTTTATTTGACTAGTGCACCGTTACCTAAATATTTGGCAAATAAACAAAAACTAAGATTAAAAAAATAACAATCCCGTTTTCGAATTCTGATTATTTAAAGACAAAGCCTACTTAACGTTTGCATTTATTGTTCATATTTCGCAAATTAAAATGACCAAACAAGACTTAGTGGACAGATCCTCGAATCTGGTTAGATCTTCATCAGCAACTAATTCTCGACTGAACGCACGAATTATGACTGAGGGTGAGATTGAAGAAATAATAAAAAACCTCCTAGTTTAGTAGAAGATATACTTAATCTTAATAGAGATTTTTCAAAATACGAAGATAATGAAATTAAATTAGAGTTAGCGCACAATCGCATTGAGCTAGATAAATTACCAGATATCGTCCGATCGCTTAGAAAATTTTCGGGAAACAAAATTGAATATTCATCATGAAAAATGAAGAGTGTCATCAAAGAGTTGACCATTTGTAAAAAGAAAATGTTCACTGGAATACTATGGAATTCTCTTAGGAGCCCGCAATAAAATTACCGGACAAGCAGATGCAGAGTCGTACAATACACCCTTAGACTAGACAGCAATCTCAAAATGCCTAACAGCGCATTTTGCGAACAATCTCGACTTAACGACATTAGAATACCAGTTCTAACCAAGGTAACAACACAATAGTTGAATTCTACCAAGCTGTTTAGCAACAAGCCTTAGAGACTTTCGTCAGAGGCTTGAATTGTAACCTTGACAATTATTAGCAATTAAAGAACCACACGATTTAGAGCACGACCTACATTTATGCAGTCTTCTTGAGAATCAGACCACTAGAAACAATCAGACACCCAAAACTCCATACTTTGGAAAAATTATCCGGGTTATCCGGGTTTTGAAACTTAAAAAACTGCAATTATTTCAAACTTTTTTATATAATAGTACAAAGTGTCAGGAATGTTGTCCGAAAATTTCAATGGAATGGAAGAAATTTAAAGCCCAGTGCTCCGTATGAGTCACAACTGGCAATTCGAAGTTTTGCGTCGATTTTCTTGAAACCACTTTTTTTAAGTCGGTAGTCACGGTTTCTCGAAAACTATTGCACAGATCGACTTCTGCTTTTGCACACTTCTTCTAGACATGTTTTTGTTTTTGTTTTGTCGTTGTTTTTTTTTTTGTTTTGTTTTGTCGTTGAACGAAGGATTTTTTCATCTTCAATTACAACTCATTTTATAAGCCAAAATATGGCCAAAAATGACGTAAAATATGACACTTTTTATAAAAAGCGATACCAAAAATTCAATTTTAATATAAAAAAAAAATACACTAACAGAAAAACGTTTTTTTTTTATATAAACATTGACGGAGATATCCTGCCTACCGCAAGGACAATTTTTTGTGGGGTTAAGTTCAAGCCTTCCTCAACTGCTCATTTTTTAATATATTTTGTTCAAATTTTTACACAATGTAGTTCAAACTTTATATTTTAATGTACAATAACTGAAATTTGTAAAATTGTCGTATGATCATTTAAAAAATAGGCATTTTTTTGTGCTTCAAAACCCGCTTAACCCCTTAAATGGTCGAAATTTAACAAATAATTAATTGAGACCCCCGGAATCAAGACAAGCATCTTAGATGAATAGATTTCCATAGCCCCAGCATTTTTGCCTTTTCCTGGCTTCGAAATAAGCAATTGTAAATATAAAAGGCGGTTCTTCACGTACGTTGTTTGATTTTTCACCAAAATTAACAGATAGAAAAAATATCGATTTTTTTTGTTGCATTTTTTGATAGCTTTAAGTGTCTAGAATATCATACTAAAAGAGCAAATCGAAATACGTAATAGTTTAAAAGTTATGAGCCTCCGAACCGGTCGACTCAAAGCAGCTACAAAGCATACATATGTATAACTTTAAACACGTTTTCTCGAAAACTTCATTTTTCGAGCTGGCGACCGTAATATCTCGGTTAATTTTTAACGAATCTTAATGTGTTTTTTTTTAAGAAAACGGACTATTTTTTGGCCCAACCAACCAGAATGGACCCTTAACAGAGGGAAATACGAATCCGTAAGAATTTGTCGGAAGGGAACACAAGAAAAGGTCAGTAAAATCCGAATACGAATAAATTTTGCAGAAGTGGAACCTAGAACAGATCTGAATAGGGGTCGGAATTTCACATATGTGTCAGCGGGACAGAAAATTTGATTTTACGTAATAATAAAGGATAAACGATTTTCCTAGAGGTTATTAATTAATTAAGGGGTTATCCGGGTTTTAAAACACTAAAAAAGGCTTATTTTCGTGGATTTTTTAAAAAATTATACGAGAATTTTAAAAATTAATTTATTGTACATTAAAATATAAAGTTTGAACTACATTGTGTAAAAATTTGAACAAAAAATATTAAAAAATGAGCAGTTGAGGAAGGCTTGAACTTAACCCCACAAAAAATTGTCCTTGCGGTAGGCAGGATATCTCCGTCAATGTTTATAGGAAATCAAAAAAACAACGTTTTTCTGTTAGTGTATGTGTCTGGCTTGTCTTTGAAGGAAGGATTTTTTTTTTAATTAAAATTGAATTTTTGGTATCGCTTTTTATAAAAAGTGTCATATTTTACGTCATTTTTGGCCATATTTTGGCTTATAAAATGAGTTGTAATTGAAGATGAAAAAATCCTTCGTTCAACGACAAAACAAAACAAAAAAAAAAACAACGACAAAACAAAAAAAAAAACAACGACAAAACAAAAACAAAAACATGTCTAGGAGAAGTGTGCAAAAGCAGAAGTCGATCGGTGTAATAGTTTTCGAGAAATCGTGACTACCGACTTCAAAACAGTGGTTTCGAGAAAAACGACGCAAAAGTTCGAATTGCCAGTTGTGACTCATACGAAGCGCTGGGCTTTAAATTTCTCCCACTCCTACAGTTCTGCTTCGATCGACTTGAAATTTTCGGGCAACATTCCCGACACTTTGTACTATTATATAAAAAAGTTTGAAAAAAATTCATTTTTTGAAGTTTCAAAACCTGGAGAACCCCTTAAGGGGGTCTTCTCATTGGGCAACTTTTTTTTTTCGATTTTTTTTTTTTTGCATTTATTTATAGCTTGGGATGGTGTGTATATGTCCCCAAAAGGATTTTTAGAAATTCAAAATACTTTAGAAGATACAGCCTTTTTTGTGAAGCAAGTTCTTCGCAAAATGAGCTTTTTTCAAACTTCAAACGCGTTTATCTCGAAAACACGTTTTTCGAACTGGCGGCCATGATATCTCCAGTTCAACAGAACCGATTTTCATGAAACAAAGTGGAGTCGACGCAGAATTGTCACCATTCTCGGGTGACGGAACAGATTTTTTTTAAATTTTTTTTTCTATTTTTTTTTACACTAAACTACAAAAAAAAAGCCCGAAATCGAATTTTTTTTTTTGAATGGCCGCCATTTTGTTTAAAAAAATTAAAAAAAAATCTGTTCCGTCACCCGAAAATGACATCAATTCTGATTATAACCCCGTTTTTATTTTTCATTTCGGACGCTCTGGAGACCCTGAATCGTGGCCGCCAGGACGACACCTTTTTTACGACC